TGGTCTAGGTAAACTCCCAGCAGGTTGTCCTAATAAGCCATTAGACATGCCCTGCCCAGAACCTCCCTCACTAAAAGTTCAGTCAACTTAAGGGTAACTTTTATCATATCTACCTATCCATCTAATATATTTTTTAAATATTTATATAGGTATATACTTTTTTTTTTTTTTGGCTACTGGAGATCGAACCCAGAGAGATCTGGCTAATTGCCCAGGCAGGCCTTGAAATTGCCATCTTCCTGCCTCAGCTGCTGTGTTGCTGGAATTACATACAGGTGTGCAGGTGTGCACCACCATGCCTAGTTCCTGACGAGTCCCTCCCATGTAGGAGGTTCCTGGGCCCTGGGGGACTCTACAGCCGTCTGTTACAACTTTGGTTCAGGGTTGATGCTGGGAAAGTGTTCTCTGATGGGATTTAGACACCAGCCCTGCATTAGCTTTGCTACCTGTGAGACTTAGTGAGCAGACATTGGGAGGAGGGTTACAGCTCAGGATTGTAGCTGGCTGGAGGGGCTCAGAAACACCCCTACCTCCCTGAACTATCGTGGTACAAACCTACACCTCATGACCTTCCCTAGCTAATGAAAGTCCAAAGTGCCATTGCCAAGCATCCAGCTGAAGTAAAAAGCGGAAATTTTATTACTTTATATCATCAAGATCATCAATAGGTTCCAAAGAAGTGTTTGTCTTTTAAAGCAGGATATCGTGACTTTTTCCCCAAAGAGTATCTTAGAAACCACTTAGTAAACATCATAAGAATCTTTTATTTGCCAGGCATGGTGACACACACCTGTAATCCCAGCAGCTCAGGAGGCAGAAGTAAGAGGATCGAAAGTTCAAAGCCAGCCTCAGCAATGGAGAGGCGCTAAGAGACTCAATAAGACCCTGTCTCTAAATAAAATACAAAAGAGGGCTGGGGATGTGGCTCAGTGGTTGAGTGCCCCTGACTACAATCCTCGGTCTGGAAATAGTGTTTTATATGCTGAGCTCTGAGATGATCTCTTCCCTATATGACCTGATTGAGGATCTTACCCCTTTGTTTCTATTTTTTATGGTACCTGATTAGAATATTGTCCAATCCCCCCCCCCGTTGGTTACTTTATAAAGCCTAATTAAAATACTGTCCACCTTACCCCCATTGGTTGTTTTGGAATACCAAACTTATGGCAGGAGTTATCGTGGGTGATAAGTCCTCAGTGGTGGGATGACTCATCTCCCTGTCTTGTCCTCCAGTGGCATTTTTCTTGTACTCTGCCTCTGTCTTGATGTCTGTGTGTGCTTCTATAGGATCCCTTGTCTCCATTCCCCTGCCTGCTTGAGTGTTCAGTTTCTCTCAGTTGTTAAGCATAGGATTCCTAAAAGCACCTTGACAACGAATGAGAATCCTTCTTCTGACTTTGGCACAGCCTATTTCATCTCTTTAAATGTTTGGGAAGACTAACAAGATGCATTTTGTACAGTTTTAACAAGGGCCAGTGGGAGCAAGATCTATCATGGTAGGAATTTTAGGATTCTAGGGCCAGTGGGAGAGAAAAGGGGTTGTGTTTGTAGAGTTCTAGGACATCTTAGGTGTATGGCCTCAAGCAACAATTCTAAACTGTAGCTGCCCATTAGACTCAGGGTGAAAACACATGCATATGTGTGTACAGCTACATGGATGCACACACTTATATGTACACACACATTTACATACTCATTCACTCACATACTTGCAAGTGTGCATACCCCTCACATGCACATATACCTCAAGATACCAGCTCCTCGGTTCTGATTTTATTGGCCTTGAGTGTGTTCTGGGCATTGGTATTTTTCTAAAGCTCTTCATCAGATATGAGGAACCACCATTGAATCAGAGGTGGCTGACCTATGATTCAATATTCTGTCTTTCCACCAATTTCATCGTCGTACATCACCTTTCACTTTAGTGTTATAAGACTAGCTCCTCCCAGGAAGAAAGCATAGAAACAAATAGTCCAAGCTCTGTTCTGGTTTCCTCTCTTGGAATGCTGTGTGGAACTGAGCAGATTGAGGAGCTCTTGGCTTCTGCTGCTCTGTGACAGAGCCGGTTTCTGTGGCCCTGTGTAAGGCATCTGGAGCTCTGTCAGGCCAACCACGTGTCACGAGATCAGTGCTGACTCCAGAGTAGAGTTTTCAGCAGTTTCTACTAATGATGCAGAGAAACCTAAGCATCTGAACACATTAATAAGAGCTTAAAAAAGGATTGGAATAAGGACTTAAAAAAGGGTTTTGTTTCTTCTGGAAACTTAAATGTGCATATCAGAAGTGCCCTTTCAAAAAGTTGAATTAGCAGACAGAATGAAATAATGAACTCTTTTATACCCACTGCCCAGCTTCAACAGTGACCCATGCATGGCCTGCCTTGTTCTGTGCTCCTCCCTCCCCTGTCCTCCCAAACTCTCTTAAAATAAATCTTAAAAGAAATGCCTTTTAATTTTGAAGAATCAAGGTCACCTTCTCTACCACTGTTGTGTGCTTTAAAGATAGTACGATGAGTTCAGAACAGAAGGTGAAGTGACAGTGCTGAAAAATGCTTCCTTGGTCCATGTATCGTGGCCACGCTGTGGTGTGACACAGTGGCTTTATGTTAATCTGGATTGCCTGAAAACAGTGTGCCATATCTTGGAAGATTTTGTTCTAATGATAGAACTCTGCTCCACATGGAGCAGAGTTGACTTCTGTCCCAATAGCATGGTAGAAACACTGTGTTCTGTGGAAACAGTATTCCCATGACGGGGAACCATCCTCATTCTTTCTCCACCTCTCAAGGCAGTCAGAGTTCCCCAGCTGCAGAGAAGCTCAACTTAGATGGCCCTGAGGCCATGCTGACCACTGGTGACTGATTGACAACACACAGCCTTAAAGCCTGTGCTTTAAGCAACTCATTTGTAGCCACCTGGATGCGTTTGAGAGAAATAAATGATGGGGTTTTTGCCCTTTAAAATTCCTTAGTAAGTAAAAACAAGGTCTTGTAAGAATGCTGTTTTGTTTCTGGAGATTGGCTTTATGTCATACCTTTTCTTTGGTACTTCCTGGGTGAATCGTCCTGTGCACAGAGACATGAAGAGAGAGCATTTTGGTTTTCTTTCTGCTCATAGACCTGTCATTGGTGGCTCTGCAACGAGGCAGCTGCTTTCAAGTCCTTCTTTGACTGCCATGTTGGAGAACTAGACTTGCCTATACCAGAAGCTCCTGGCTGCTTTTCATTCCAGTGTTTCCCAGTGGAATTTGTATTGTGCATGGAGGTATATTTTATGTAGACTGGTTGGCTTTAGAGATTGTCTAGGAAGGAAAAGATGTACGCCCACCTCCAACCACTTTTGTAGAGTAGAAAGCTATTAACATATTAGCCCATGTTCCCTGTTCTCTAGAAAAATGTGCCGGTGAGGCTGGGTGCAGAGGCTGAAGTGGGAGGACCCCCTGAGCTCAGGAGTTCAAGGCCAGCCTGGACAACATAGTAAGATCCCATCTCAAAAAAGAAAATGTGCTAATGAAAAAAACAAATTGTTCGGTTTTTTTTTTTTTTCCTTTTTGAGAGATAGATAGATAGATAGATATGAAATAATTTCATGGGCACAGGTTCGTGTAGAAGCTTTCAGTTGTCTGTTGTAACTCAGATTGTGTTTACTGAAACCCACTCTACACCAGACACTGTCTTCAGCGCCTGAGATGTGTGAAGGAGTCGGTATGGCTATTAAATCTACTTCACAGAGGAGGAAACAGACACAAGGATGAAGAAACTTCCCTTTCATCACCCAGGGAGAGGTGGCTGACCCATGATTCAGACTCAGCTTGTATGGCTCCCCAGGCTTTACCCAGGGCCACTTACAGGACAGGTGCATGAAGAAGGGGCCAAGGAAGACTCAGAAGGAAAATTGGCCGAATAGAGGGGACTCAGAAGGGTCAAAGAGTACCGGGCAGAGTGGCATGCACTTCATTCCTCTGGATGAAGGATGTCAGAATAAGTGACCCCTGCCTTCTTGGCCCCACTGCCAAAGCAGGGTGATAGGAGGTGCCTGGGGAACTCCTGCTCTCTCCATCAAGTCCAGATGGCCCTGGCTGGAACCATCCCTCCCTATTCTGAACTCTTGTTCCTCATACATTACTTTCATCAGCGCTGTGGCATAGTTTTGCTTTTCATTGTTGTGGGTTGTGGCTCAGAGGAAGAGCGCTTGCCTAGCATGCGTGAGGCACTGGGTTCCATCCTCAGCACTACATGAAAATAAAATAAAGGTATTGTGTCCACCTAATACTAAAAAATAAATGTTTTTAAAAAAACCTTGTCTCCTTATCTGGCCCACCGGATAGTACTAAATGCCTTCAGTTTTGTTACAAACCTAGCCTAGTACCCACACTAGACAGATGCTGTGGATAGGATCCTCTGTCCCAAATCAGAAAGCAACTTGCTTTTATTTATTTCCATAAAGAGTGTTTTTTAAAGTAAATGTTTACTTTCTAATTGAATTCTAAGTATTTTTCACATGCCTAAGAAAATGTCTTAAGTTACAGAGAGCTTTTTGGTCTGTTGATTTTTTTTTTTTTTCTTCCCCCTACCAGGGATTGAACCTCAAGGTGCTTAACCATTGAGCTACATCCCCAGCCCTTTTTATTTTGAGACAAGATCTCCGTAAGTTGTTTCAGGCCTCGCTAAATTGCTGAAGCTAGTTTCAAACTTGAGATGCTCTTGTCTCAGCCCCCCAGATTGCTAGGATTACAGGTGTGCACCACCATGCCCAGCTCTAAAAAATCTCTTCAGAATTAAGACCCGCTGACCACTGTCATCTTTGTAATAGAAGGTGTCAGTTGCTGATTGTCTCCAAGCATCCTTTAGTGTTCCCTACTTTTCAGACTGCAGAGTAACATCTTTGAGCTGGTCAAGCATTAAGTATAGTCATCCCTAGATTTTCCTAGAAATTGATTTCAGGACCCCTGTGTATACCAGGATCCAAATAGTACATCCTCCCATACAAGTCATAGACGGCTTACAATACCAAATCAATGTAATTGGTACGTGAATAATTGTTATACAGTATTAGTTAGGAAATAATTCCAAGAAAAAGAGTCTGCCATTTAAAAAAAATTTTTTTTAAATACTTTCAACCTGGTTGACCAGAATAGATTGAGTCTTGAGTAACAGTGTGAAAAATAGCACCACCTGTAAAAGAGTAAAAAAGTGTGTTTTTGGTTTTTATTTCATGAAAACATAACCAACCATCCAAACATCAGCTCCTGATAGAATGCTAGTTTCCTCTACCTGGGAGGATGATGTGACTGTTCTCCATGTCTTCCTTCATCATGCCAGCTGCTGTCGAAGTGCCAGGCACTTTGCATGGGGCTTGGCTAATGATTTATCACCTCCTATAACTGCTTTGATGCTTCAAATTCTTAGAAATCTGAAAGGGAAGCATTTATAATAAAGACAAATTTATTACCAGTTTTGCAATAGTCTCCTCTGTAGGAATTGGTGTGCATGTTTTTTTCTCGTAAGTAATTTGGTGCCATAATTACTCTAATGTCTTAGTCCAAATGCATGGCCATACATCCTTCAAGGCATTCTTTGTCTTGGTTGTCTTGATTTTCAGAAGACTGGATTAATGATGGGAAGCGGGAAGCAGGGTATTCTGTGAACGTTGTCAATGAGAGTTTTTCCTGCAGATTTCTCACTGTGATGTAAACAAACCAGGGTTAACTTAGAGTAGCAGCTGGCTTTTACTGTAGGCCACAAGAGAGGCTGCTCTGGGCACCTCAGCATCTGCAGCAGGGCTCTGCTATTTCCTGAGTGTTGGATAGGGGTGAAATGCAAAGAAATTTCATTTCAGGTACCTCAGAAAACTTTCTGGCCATTTTTAAGAACTGATACAAAGGGGAAATGGAGCTTTTTGCAAACTGCAAGTTATAGAAACCGACTTAAGTTTTAAAAGTCCCCTGAATATTAATTGTAACATCTACCGAGGAAAAATTTTAAAAGTTGAATATTAGTAAAGCCAAATTTACTTTGCTTGTCGTTATGATAGATGTTTATGAGTGATTTGGGGTTTTTGTTGAATTCACATGTGTGCTGTGGCTTACTCTACCTTTGGCTGTGGTTTTTTTGTTTTGTTTTGTTTTTTTAATAGTAGATGGACACAATACCTGTATTTTATTTTTATGTGATGCTGAGGATTGAACCTGGTGCCTCACATGTGGTGCTAGGCAAGTGCTCTACCAACTGAACTATAACTCCAGCCCTGTGTTAGCTGTTTTTAACATGGGTATTTCCTTCATCCCATCTCAGAAACTGTGCAACAGTAAGCCAGGTGTCTGCCACCTACCAGAGTCCTGGTCCAGCCGTTATTTGAAACATGTGGCATCATCTTGAGCAGGCTCCTGAGGATAACAAAAAAGCAGCACAGACTCTACCTGGCACAGAAGGTAGCTCAGCCTGCCCTAGCCATACTCCAGCTGGCTCCATTTCCATCTCTACAGCTGATTTGAACTCTGACTGCCAGCAGGTGATGTCAGAACCCTTCAGACAAGGGATTTGATGGTGGAAGAAGAGTCAAGAAATGTATTTCTACTCCTTCTTGGCAAAATGCCATCTGGTTCACATCAGTGGCACAGTTGTACCTCCGTAACTCAGGAGGTTGGTTCTAGGACACCCCATCCCCACCCAATACCAAAATCTGCAGATGCTCAAGTCTCTTACAAAATGACATAGTCTTTGCATGAAACCTATATATGTGTCCTCCCATATGCTTAAATTATGTCTAGATGACCTATACCAAATATAATGTAAATTCTTTGTAAACAGTCATTGTACCATATTGTTTAGGGAATAATTACCAAAAAAAAAAAAGTCTTTGTATGTTCAGTACAGACATAATTGTTCTTTTGAATATTTTCCAACCAGGGTCTATTGAATCCATGGGTGCAGAACCTGCAAATACAGAAGGCCAACTCTATGTACAAAGATCCCAGAGAGTTATGTGGTTTTTACCTAGAACATCATTCATACATTTGAAATTCAACAGGATTTATTGTTGTTGGTGGTGGTGGTATTAGAGATGGAACCCAGGCCTTTACACATGCTAGGCAAGCGCCCTACCACTGAGCTATACTTCAAGCCTCAAAAGGAATTGTTTGTCAGCATTAATCACTGATTCTGCACGTCTTGCAGGTGTCCTCTGTGTGCCAGGTACTGTGTTAGGTCCTAGGGATACAGTGGTGATTGTGGTCTGCATTCTTAGAGTTACAATCAAGGCTTTCATCCAGGCAACAATTACGTTGTCAATACCTCTTTCCAAAACTAAATGAATTGTCCTAAAACAGACAAGCTGTTAGAATAGTTTAGATCATCCTAGCTAGGAAAAAAAAAAATGTTATATGTTATTTGTGAACTCCTAAGAAAGGAATTTTCATTTAATTAATTGTGTAAACTTAAGCCACTCAACAAACTTTTTTTTTCTTTTTTTTAAGCATCCTGTTCCTCCTTTCCTTGGCCCTGTGATATTTGTTTTCATTATTCAAATTGGACTTTGAGGCCAATGGCAGCAGTGCTGGCTACAGAATCAGATTTCTTCCCAGTTCAGTGAAGTCAGCTGAGTGTGTTTAGGGGCTGGGCTGACAGTTTGGACCATTGTGACATAGTGGCTAGGCAGGACTGCTGCTTGCACACATAGTGTTAGCATTTCATATACTACCTCACTGTTATGGTAAAACCTTCCTAGCAAGTATATATATATATATATATTTCTTCAAAAACACTTCCTTCACAGCAGTTCTGTAGCAAAGCTTGTGCTTTATTCACACTGCAGTATTCAGCTCAGCCAAACCGTGATGGCAGCGAAGGGTGGCATTTGGCGTTTGTTTAATCTAGCTGAGTTACTGCTTTCTTTGGCTAGTGTGTTTCAGTATTGGAATTTGGTTGGAATGGATCATGTGGCCAGAGAGAATAGCCAACTGCCTTGCTAAATGCCCTCTTGTTCACTTTCATTTGTGAGAAAACAAGAAGGAAAGCCACTGGATTTGGAAGTGCCTCTCCTTCCCTTCCAGTGGGTGACCTGGGAGCAGCCTGGGCCCCTCTTCCCCTACCCTTGACCTAATGTTGCCCTGTTCCTGCTTTTTAGAATAATTTTCTTTTATCCGTTTTCCCTAAATTATTTGGAATTTTCATCCCACTTATTTTGTTTTTAAAGACATTTCAGAGAATAAAGAGATCTTTCCAACATAAACATGAAAGGGACATTAAGAAAGTGGAGATTTTATAAAAGGCCAGGACTTCATACCTGTACAGCTTTTTGGGGGTAGCCCTCCAGGTAACCCTGTTTTTACCCTTCCTGTCTGTTTTGGATCTTGTCTACAGAAAACTGGACTCTTTCCATGGACTTTACAATTAGCAAACACTAGTTTTTACTTTTATTAGATACGATAATTAGTATTCCCTTAAGCACATTAGTCATAATTAAAGAAATGGGAATGATTTTAGGCTTCTAGCCAGGACAACTGTTCAGATCAGTTGGGACCAACACAACACAATTCCATAATCCTGATCCTATTAATCACCCCAGAAAGCAGCCCTGCTCTTCTGTCCCTACAGATGACTGGTCATACACAACTGAGCAGGCAAACAAGAACCTTCAAATATAAGAACATACCCTTCCACTAGAATGGAACGCTGCCTGCATTGCTGCATCCCCAGCACCCAGAACAGAGAAAGCCTCACAGTTTGGTTCTTGAATAACTTTTTTTCCGGCACCAGGAATTGAACACAGTGATGCTTAAACCACCGATCCACATCCCCAGCCCCTTTTATTTTTTATTTTGAGACAGGGTCTCACTAAGTTGCTGAGGCTGGCTTTGGACTTGTGATCTTCCTGCCTCAGCCTCCCAAGTTGTTGCAGGGACAAACAAGGCAAGGCACCGAAGATAGCAGGAAACAGTTTTATTTGGCTGCTTTCCATTGGATCTTAGAGACCACTATGCTCCTAGCTAACATCAGCTTGGACTGTATATCTAGACAGGCTCTCAACCAAAGGGGCTATCTCTTGTACTATCTCTTGCCAGCAATCAATATAAAAGAATTGGTTCAAGGGTTCCAATAACAATCAAAAGGACCTCAGCAATGACTCTCTCATCTAAAGATCCTTCTGGTGGCCAGCCCACATCTTGGATGGGCCATTCTAATTCACAGAGTATGCAACCTTTGTGGAGTCTCACTCTACAGTCACCAGGAAAACCTTCCTAAAGGTTTCTAACACATTTCAGAAGGCTCAGTTTCCTTAGTGTGCCTCCCATGTTCCATCCTGCATTGGTGTCGCACACTTAGAACAAAACAGACTTTAGGACAAGACTCGCTTCGTCCATCTCCGGCCGCTCCCCTCGCAGGCACTTCGGACCCTCTTAGCCTTGTGAGTTGGTATCAACCCCCGACCTGGAGCTTTCCCCTAGACATTGATTTGGTGAAATTTCGCCATAGAATGTATGAGGTGCCACGGAACCGCACATCAGGACTCTGCACTCGCTTCGGCCCTGGGGTTGGGTCAGAACCCTTCCCTTTGTCTGTCTCATTCACACACTTTCACACAGACATGGCCAGGACAGGATTTCTATACCGCCCAAATTCCAACAATTCCAAACCAAACAAAAAGGGAGTCATGGTTCCCCTCTGCTCGCTGGCCCTGAACAGAGACTACTCGGGCGACTCCTTGGGTCCATTTCAGCTCCAACAACTTTGGAGGGTACTCGGGACCCAACAGAAGGTGATCAAGCCTCTCTTCCACCCACTTAGGCCTCGAAGGGGAAGTCAGGTGGGCTATAAAACCAAATGGACCGGGGTCCTACCTGTTCAGCTGGGCAGTGCTCCAAAACCCTAATTCTGGTTCCTGCTGCCTGTGGGTTCCATTGTGCTCTGGGGTGGCAGCCCCAGGACGCTGGGTGAGTCAATCATCCTTCAGGCCAAGAGTGGCCTGGGCGCCAAGGGGACTGCTGTCCCTCATCGCCCCAGGGAAGCCGGTCCCCAGAGACAAGAGAGGCAGAATAGCCTTCCTTACCTCCTCTGTCCCATCCGGGTCACCAAAAATATTGTAGGGACAAAGAAGGCAAGACACCGAAGATAGCAGAAAACAGTTTTATTTGGCTGCAGCCAGGTTCAGAGGGCACAGCTTTTGCTGTAATCAATCAATCCCCTGAATCCCAAGTTCAGGGAGTTTCAGAATTTTATACCTAGCATGTAAGGGGAGGGGCTCAGAAGTTCACATAAAAACAGCTTTTTATTTCACTGTTCTGGGCAAGTTAACTCTTCAAGGACAACACCTGAGAAGGGGAGCGCTCCATCTCCCCTTTCTTTCCTCTTCCTGCCAGCTGTTACCATGGAGCCCATTTGTAACTTATCTTGAAAATGTAGACATCTCTGTGAAGCCTCAGCTCAAGGCCAGAGGCCTTGTTTGCACATTTCTTCAAAGTACTATACTGGATACGTTTGTGAAAACTAGTAAGGGGGTGTCCAGCACCTGGAGTGCTGGTATCTTCTCGGCCAGTGGCCAAGTAAACAGGGTGACACGAAAATATGAAGTTTATCTACATTGAACTCTTTTGCAGAGACTCTTTTGCTGACAGTCCTAAAATCAGCCATGGTGAAGAGGGCTTTTCTGTGGAGAAAGGGGATGCCACTTCAAAGTCACTGGGATATGCCACCACACATAGCTAATAACAGTTTTGAATGAATTAAATATTATAGTCGAGACCATGAGGTCACTCATTTGTAAAAGGTGTCTCTTCTTTATTGTAAAGTTGCTTTACAATAGAAACAAGCACTTTGAACATCTCCTTTTCCACTGCCCCCCATCTATGTTATTTTTGTAACTTTGGTAAATTAGTAATGTACTTTAGTCTCAGTTTTCCCATCCTCAAGACACAGCTGGTGCTAGAGATATAGCCTAGTGCTAGCTAGAACTCTTGTCTAGTATGAACAAGGTCCTGGTTTCAGTCCCCATCATATCTAAATAAAAAGTTGAAAGAGTCATTTTAAAAATATGGCTGGTGATGCTTATTTCCTAGGATGCTGCTGGGGTTGACAGGTAAAGAGCCTGTCACAGCCCCTGGCTCTTCATTGGCACTGGTTGTTCCATCACCTTCTCATTCTGCCCATTTCCTTTCAAAATCTGCTGAGAGCTTAGACCCTCTGTCAACTATCCAACAAAGCCCTCTTGAGCATTTTCTAAGAAAATAATACTAAGGTAGAAACTACCACTACATAAAAAATTTAACCAGAAAATTTCCTAGTTGAAGGGTTGAAACATTTGGTGGCTAATAATAAATGCAGCGTTCTGGTTTTGTTGTTTTGTCTTGGTTTTTTGAGCCAGCCAATATTTTATTCCAGATTTTCCAGAGTCAGGAAAGAAGCACAGTAGAATTTTTAAAATTCCTAGGGCTAGGCAAAGTCTCTTAGCAGTAGATAGATTGAGAACCCCCTTGCAGTCACCCAGCACATGTCACTCAGCCATGCAGAAGAGCCATTTCCTCAAAGAAAATGCCACCAGATCCAAAGGAGTTGTTTGTATGCTTTCTGATCTTTAGTTCACTGGCTCTCTTGTGAGTACATGTGGCCAGTTTAAAAACACTAGTTTTCCGCCAGGAGAAGTGTACCTCCAGCCAGATTGCCTGTAGCAAAGTATCAGAGTACAGATTTCATGAATATCTAGGACCCCTGGAAAGAGGAAGAGGATCTGTAGACACATATTCACCTTCCTTAAAAGCCAATGTCAGTCTTTGATAAGGGCCAAGTAAAGAAGAGCAGATATTTCAAAATAATTGCCAAGAAAGAGGTGAGAGGAAAGGAAGTGTGCCACAAGTCCTGATCTGAGATGATTGGTGTTTAATTGACATGCATTTCTGTAGAAATCATCACACCACCATGAGGTGGCCACCATTACCATGTTGATGTGTCTTTTTTTTGGGGGGTGGGGGTACTGGGGACTGAACCCAGGGGAGCTTAATCACTGAGCTGAACCACACCCCCAGCCCTTTTTATTTTTTATTTTGAGACGGGGTCTCACTAAGTTGCTCAGGGCCTCACTAAGTTGCTGAGGCTGGATTGAATTTGGGATTCTCTTGCCTCAGCCTCCTGAGCTGCTGGGATTACAGGCATGGACCATTGCTTGCGCCTGGTTTCATGTGAGTCTTTGTCAGTATTTTTTAATGCTATAATTTTTTATTTTATAAAACTAAGATCATTTAGTGTGCATTGTTTGGTTTGTTTGGGCTTCGTGTTGGAAACTTTCTCAAATATACATTGGCTCTCAGCTGTTCATGTTTGGGAGTGATGCACTAAAGACCAATTGGAAGAACTGTGGGGTGGGCCTGTGCATTGAGGGGCTTTATGTCAGGTAATTGGATAGGCAGCCAGACTCTTCACTGGGGACCCACAAATGTTCATGTCTTATATGCTCTGCTGCCCTTGGGTTTTTCCAGAGGAGATCCTCAAATCTATGGGGCTTGAGGGACTTAGAAGGAGAAGAGAGTTGAAAGACCCATAGTTGATTTAATATGTTCACCCTCAATTATGTTTTATTCCAGTGCATATTGTCTACCCTCCCTATGCAACAATCTCTGGTTCAATGTCTATGAAAAGGAGGAGGGGAAGATCCAGGGACCCAGGCACTCTACATATAGTCCTCTAGGGAGCCTCCCTTTCCACCTTCACCCCAACCTCATTGCCCTGTGGCTTATAGCTTGTGCTTGTGTATCATCCTTTGCTAGGTGGAGAAAGTTGCCATTCCTACATCCAATGTCTCTCTTTTATCAGGTATCAGCATTTTTTGCATGTGTGTGATTGTTACATGAGAACTATGATGAGAATTTAAGCAGAATAATGAGGTAGTGATTTGGTGTGGTTACTGCGCCATGTGTTACCAGAAGTCCCATCTGTGTTTTGTACCCATTTTGTTGATGTTGTTTACTTAACGTCATATTGTAAACATATCACCCATGTTACTAAATGTTACTCTTTGAGACATTGAAAAATAACAGTATTATATTCCACTGAAAGAATAGGAGAACTTTGCTTCTTTGGGGACATAAGCAAATGTCAGAAATCTTCTCAATTAACAAGTTTACATCTAGGATAAGCATAAATTCTTAGACATGACCTCTAGAGCTGAAAGAAGTAGGTACCATTTGAGACTAGTTGTCCAACCATAATTGAAACCAATTTACAAGAGTGATTTCTGCATAGCTCTTGAGAGGAGACGGTGACAGGAGCAAGTTAAAGGGAGGTGGTGGAGCAAGTTAGAGGTTAGTTGAGCACTGAGCAAACTCCTCCAAGGTTCTGAACTGGATGGGAGTTGTGCTTGTACCTGCTTCCCAGGGGCTGAACAGGAGGTTGAGGAGCCAGGTATGGAAGAGTTAGGCTTGGGTACATCTCTTAGTTCATTCATTCCTTCTTTGCCACATGTGACTGAGTTCCTACTTGCCCAGTACAGTGGCCACAAATTCATTTTCTGGCTCAAATAACAGACAAGGCAGGGAAACAGCACTGTGAAGAAAGAGTGGGTCATGGGATAAACAACCCAGACCTTGATTTCATTGTTGGATATGTTTCCTGACCAATTGATGATGTATAATATTTCAAACATTTGTGAAAGCAGAGAGAATAGCACTTCTCCACATTTGTTTGAAGAACTTTTAAAAGAAATGCACTGTGGCACGTGCCATGGAGCCTCTGCTCTGCCACAGCCTGCACCTGCCCTTCCACTCTAGGTAACTGCTGTCATCCATTGAGTTTCCTAATCATGTTTTACCATTTTACTCCAGTGGCACATTGTAGCTGAGCAGTAGTATTGTTTTGCAAGTTTTTTTAAAAACTTAGTACACTATGATTTTGCAACTTGTTTTTTTCATTCATTATGTTTTTATAATTTATGCATGTTGATAGATGAGTCCCTAATTCATTTAAATTGGTGAACTGTGTTGTGTATTCTGCTTATATTGTACTTATATTGTACTGAGGATTGAACTCAGGGGCACTTAACCCTCTTTTGTATTTTATTTAGAGACAGGGTCTCACTGAGTTGCTTAGCACCTCGCTGTTGCTAGAGGCTGGCTATGAACTCAAGATCCTCCTGCCTTAGCCTCCCAAGCTGCTGGGATTATAGGCATGCATCACTGTGCCTGTCTTTGCTTATCTTCTCATTATCCTCTTGATGGACATTTAGGTTCCCAATATTTCGTTGCAAACAGAAGTGCAGAGACATTTCTTCTATATGTCTCTTCCTGCTTATGAGGGGAACTTCACCAGAGGATGGAAGAGGAATTTCAGAGTTGTAGGAGTGGAGCACTTTTAACTTTACTAGACCATCAAAGTATTACCTTATATGGCTGTACCAACTCCTACTTCTTTCTTTAGGTTATCAGTGCAGGTCTCTATCCTTGCTAACACTTGCTGGTATCAGACATTTTAAATATTTGTAAATCTAATTAGTGTGCAATGTCACATGTTTTTTTTTTTTTAATGAAGTTCTGTATTACTAACGATGTTAGACATCTTTTAACTATTTGAATTTTGAATTCAGAGTTTCCCACTGAGTGTTTAAAATTGTGTAAAATTGGAAAATGACTACTGATTCTGAGCCTCACTCTCCTGATTTTGATGAAACATGAATACCCATACAGTAGAGTTGCTATGAGAATTAGAGATCATACCCAGAGAACACAGTCCTGGCTCTGATTTTGTCTCAGTCATGAGTCTTTCTACCAGCACTACCATGAGGGGTGCTCCCTCTCCATGGAGGAAACCCCCAAAGACAATTGTCTGGAGCAGCAGAAGCCAGTCAAAGAGGTCCATTTGGAGCTGGTAGAGCTCTCCCAAGAATCCCAGTAGAAGTCCTGGAGAGCCATGTGGACATTGTGCCACAGGGGACAGCTTGGTGAGCCCACGGTGGCTAGGGATGCAGCAGCTAGTGTCACCACATACATGCCTGTGGCGTTGCACTAGCATGTTAATCCACATTGCCTGCCTCTTTCCACCTCATACCTTATTCTCCACAGAGCAGCCCAAGTGGTCCTTTTAAAATAGAAGCCAGGTCTTGAGTTCAAAACCCTCTCATGGCTCCCCTGTCTCATTTGGTGTAAACCAAAGTCCATATTGTGGCTTATATGGCAAGTTTTCAAACTAAGGTCTGTCCCCC